TTGAATTTCTGTCTTAATATCTTCTCTATAACTATTCCCCCGGTCACTGAAAGACACATAGCTTATTTTATGAGTACAGGCCTTGATAACAGGTAAGAAGCTCACAGGAAAAAGAAACATCACAACTAAATGGGAATGTAATGGAACCAAACAGGATGAAATATCACCATTACATATTAGTCCAAAAAAGTAGTTTGTACCAAGCAAAGCCTTCTTTTCTGTTTTGACAATAAGATCAACATGTGAGGATAACACAGAGATGAACTAATAAATCCTTTATTTACCTAACTAAAAGGACAGGTCATGGATTTTACTTGCTTTAAATACTTAAAATACTATTAATTACATATTGCCTATTGGCAAATCCTCAAATAAACTATACTATTCTTTCTTAATGTGGAGGGTTTTTTTTTTTCAGTTGATACAGGAAGGGACAAAGATGTCAAAGAAGCAAAACTTCCAGACATGTAAGCAGATAAAAAAAAATATTTTTTTCTTATTTAAATCACAAAAGCTCATAAAAAGGAAAAAAAGCAAAAAAAAAAAAAAAAAATCTATGATCAAAACCAGCAAACCGTTTTTAAGCATTAACAATGTTAAAATAATTTGATATAACTGTAGGTAAAAGATAACCAAGTTCATGTCCACAAAAACTCACAACTGTAAAACATGCTTAGGGCGAACTTTGAGAATTTATTTTTAGATGAATACGTGGTTCATTTGTAAGAAACTAGAAACCCTATAGTTTCAAATTTATGTACAAAGTTTATGACTTATTCTTAACATTCAAGAGGAAGGCATTTAGTGTTCTGGGTATATAGAATAGTAATTCCCCTGTAATTTTTTATTTTGTTTTGATCTCCAATTTCTCTTGGAAAGCACTTCAACTATTTTTCACTCTCTAGTCTCTATGATAACTGGCAATAAAAGGTAAAAAAACTGAATATCTTCAAGGATATTGAAGTTGGTCTGTAAAAGGTAATTTTAGCTTTGTTCAAGGTAAGTCAAGGTGATATAAAAGCATTTATCTGTGAAGAGAGCTCAATTATCAATATTTTAAGTGGGGACTAGAAGGTTCTGTTTCCTGGTTCAAATGTACTATCTCTACTATAGGCTGCTAATACAGGTACCCATAATAGGTCTTTACACTCAGCTTCTGATTTGTTAGTATATGCTTTAAGAAATTTATTTTAAGTTTGCTTTATCCTCAAGAGGTATACTTTTTAAGGAAAGTGTTAATTATGCTCCACATTAAATGACTTTACAATGAATCAATTACTTGAAAAGTTCTTTTAAAAATTGCTGAGGCCCAGGCACAGCAGTTCATGCATGTAATCCCAGCATTACTGGAGGGCTGAGGAGGAAGGGGTTGAAACCAGAAGTTCGAGACCAGACTAAGTAGCAAAGCAAGATCCTGTCTCTACAAAAAATAAAAAAAAATAGCAGCTGGGCATGGTGGTGTACTTGTGTAGTCCCAGCTACTCAGAAGCGTGAGGCAGGAGGATCACTTGACCCAGGAGTTTGAGGTTGCAGTAGGTCATGACTGCACCACTCCATTCCATCCTGGGTGACAGTGAGACTGTCTCAAAAAAAAAAAAAAAAAAATTGCTGATGAAACAAACAAGAAACAAAGGAAAGCCTGAAACCGAGAGAAGAAAGGCATGGTCAGGAAATTTCCCCCAGTTACTGTTTTTTCTTTTCTTTTTGTAGGAGATATATGCTACTATTCAACCTTTACTATAAGATTGGCAGCCCTAAGAATTCCTTTTAATATATGGCATGTTTTTAATATCTATATGTATTGCTGCTCCCAAAAGAATGAAGAACAGACATTTCCACATACAGCTCAATCACTTTTTAAACCATATTTACTTTTATCATTGCTTGGATGTATGTAGTGACTGAATGGTACATATTTCTAGCTATAAGAATAAAGGAAGGTAGGCTAGGCGCAAGGCGGGCGGATAATCCAGGGTTGAGAGTTCGAGACCAGCCTGCCCAACATGGAGAAACCCTGTCTTTGCTAAAAATACAACATTAGCTGGGCATGGGGGCTCATGCCTGTAATCCCAGCTACTTGAGAGGCTGAGGCAGGAGAATCGCTTGAACCTGGAAGGTAGAGGTTGCAGTGAGCTGAGATCGCACCATTGCACTCCAACCTGGGCAAAAAGAGTGAAACTCCATCTCAGAAAAAAAAAAAAAAAAAAAAAAAAGAGAATACAGAAAGGTATTTATTTATGAAAATAAGTAGTTTTCTTGGAAGAGACCTTTAAAGTCAATCTCCTTGGACATCAGAAGGTTTCTCAATGAAATATTTCTCTTATGAGAGCTTATGAACTTTGTAAATTCTTCAAAGCTTAGGTACTAATTTTTCATGGCAGTGCCCTTTTCCAATTACTCCATACATTGAGACATCAGAGTTACTGTTAAATGGGTCATTAAAATGACAGATCACGTCCTTACAACTGACTAAGTCCTGAGTGTAAATTAGGTGCTTTGGGATATGCACACTCTCTTTTGAATTGCTAAGGTGATATTACTGCACTGAAGCACCAGTAATAAGTTTACAAACTCTAGTCAAAATAGGAGTTTGGAGGTTAAAAACTGAGGGTGTTTGCCAGTATTGACAGAGTGTTCTTAGTAGCTGCCTTCAGAATGCCACATTTCTAATTTGGGGCTAACTAGCTTAAATAAATGTTGGTATCTATGTTTTGTTTCCACTAAAACACTTGAGAGAAAATGTTTCACTTAAATTTAAGTAACACCAAGGATAAGAAAATTCACATGGAAAACACCCTATTTTCCTCTTAAAAAAAAAAAAACCCTACTTTGCTTTTTACTCTATTTTCAAATATAAGAGATCCTTCTAAATCTTTCTTAAATACTGTCACCTAACACCCTCAAAATTTAGAAATCCATGAATATTTTTGAGTGGTACTGTACACAAAGCATTGTACTACTCTATTCATCCAAATCATGTGCTATTAATTGATATAATTTCTTAGTTCTTATCTTGCTGAATTTGACTGGTTTAGGTCAACAGAACATGACCAAGGAAATACCTACTTTAGAAATGCAACTTTGATCTTCTCAAGGTCATTATAAATGTTATTTTTTAAAAAAACCTTTGGGTAAATAAAATGTGTTCATAAAATATTATACATCTTGCAGGAACCAAATAGGACACACTCAAACAGGTAAAATCTGCCTTTACCTCAACACAAATTCACTTTGAAATTAGTTCTGCAGTCTACACTTCAAACACAGAAGCTGGTTTCACTTGTTATCAGATTATAAACACAATGCTTACATTGTCAAAGAACTCATTTTCTCTAAAATCTGATTTTGTCCTTTAAAGAAATGCTCATGTATTGAGTTTAGTCTTATGCCATATTTAAAGAGTTAAAGCTCAAAATATCTCAGAGCCGGAAGTTTTGAAAGGCCAAAGGTGAAACTAAAGTGGAAATGTAGCACACATCCACTCCTGTCTATCTTTTATTTTTGTGCACCCTGCTTATAACATAAGAAAAGAGATTCTTGGTGGATACAGAAAAAAGAAAATAGTATTTTTGTGTTTTGGAAACAGATCATTTCATTCTTCAAAAGAATTAGCAGCAATATTTTATGTGGGTTAAAAAAGAACACCAGTTTCTCTTTTGAAATGTCAGTTGTAAATGGTAGGTAACTACTAAATTCGTTTTCATACAAACACTTAAATTTTTTGATCAAGTTCTAAATCTTTTGGAATTACAAAAAGGCAACAGTACCAACTAGAAGATTCTTGAATTTTGGGCTATACTATGCCAACCATATAATATACTACTTTGTCTAGAAGGGTAATTTATTTTTTAACTTACTGCTTCTGAATTATCTTCTTTTTTTCACTTGAAATGATAAGTAGGAAAGTGACTAAAGAGTCTTGTATCACATAAATATTCTCCTGCAGATTTTTGTTCTGTTAGCTTTTATCTTTATGCTTCCCATCTCAAATTCAAATATATCCTGATTGAAGTAAACCCTATCCAAACAACATACATATTCAACAACAGCAAGTTCTATTACAGGGAAACTTCTTTTATACTGAGGCCTAAACTTGAAGAAGATTTAAACTTATACATGATATGAAGTAGGTCCTTGATGCACGGAATAGTCTCCAATTTACCTCTAATTTAAAGTAGTGAGAGAGATTTGAAACTGGAGAAGGTCTCAGCATTGATCATTACCTTAACACTGACTGGCAGTGAGGTTTCTCAGTATCTGGCCAACATAAACAAACAATCCGTTGTATGCAGAAATGCTGCAAAGTTTCAAGCCACAAACTTACACTGAGTTTTTTTGAATGACACTGAATTGGGGTATTTACTTTTCTGTTCTTTGATTAGCAAACGTTTTCTTTTTTTTTGTTGTTGTTAAATGTAGAAGAAATCGCTCCCTTCAGGGAAATGGAGTTGGGGTGCTCCACTACAAGCCTACACTGCCATGTTATGTTGGAATGAGGCACTGAAATTCTTCGCTGATATCCCAGATACTGCTGCCTACTCTGTGCCTACCTGTCTCTTTTGAGGAACGCTTTCCTGACGTCTAACAGGTATGATACATTAGTGCTTGAAATAAACGGTATCTTTTCTTGTAGGAAAACTGTTCCCCTGCAATTGCTTCTCTGAAAGGAGGAACATACGATGATGGAAAAATGTGATTCATTTTATAAAAACACATTTATTAACAACTTTTTAGGAACATAGCTCTTTTGCTAAGGTAAGAACATCTGTATTTACAACACAGATCTGAAATACCTACATGTTTTTCTGTATAACAGAGCATGTTTCTCTTGGCTGACACAATGTTTTATCTTCATATTTGAACCAGAATTTATAAATAGGTCATTCTTGGTATCTTAGAAGAACATGCAGGCATTAGTTTTGTTTTAGGAAAAACAGTGAAGTGTACAGCATAAAATATCATGCTAGTCTTTTCACTTTTTCACATGTACACAAAGTTACCATCTGAAGTCTTCCTTAATTCAGTTTTCAGTTTCTCCTGGTCTTCTACTAGTTTTTTATTTTCTGCTTCCAAAACACGTTCTTCATTATTACCATGGCTTTTCAAAATCTATTGCAAAAGAGAGATATAGGAAGAAATAAGCTTAGATTGCAATAGCCATTCTTACAGAAAATGAGCTGAGTGACCTATCTAAAATTACTGGCCTATAATTTATTCCTTGTCCTTTTCAGAATTTTATAGTTTTCTACAATGTACTTTTGCTAACAGAAACTTAATATTTGGCAAACACATAAAAAAGATTTCTTTTTATTATGGCTAAAATCTCTAAAATGAAAATAAAAAGAATTTCTAGTTGCTATGACTAAAATTATGTTTTCAAAAGTATTTAGATAAATAATGTATTTCTTTGTCAATTAACTGAGAAATGTAAATCTAAGGGAAAAAAACAGTTCTGAGGATGATATTAATTAGAAAACCCTTATGTTCTGACTGCAGAGCTGTCTACTCAGCCCGTTTTTATACAGATATATTTGTAAGAGAAGAGTATATCAGAGTGGAGATGGGTAAGCGGAAAATGACAAGGCCATTTCTATAGCTGGAAAATTATAATTTTCATTGAACAGTTTCCAAATTACTTTTATTCTGTTAATCCTTTGTAATACTCTTTATATTTTAAAATTGATTCTGGCTTTAAAAATGTTAATGTCTATACCTTATCTTTTCTAGGTAAGAAAAATAAAGACCCAAATAGTAAAACGACTGATCAAAATAAAAATATCATGGAGTAAAAATTTCATAATCTGTATTGTGAACAGAAACTATAATTACCATCAGAACTAAGAAGCTGACTTAAAGAAGTGATAAAGAATTTAAATTACCAAGAAGGACAAAGTGTTTGAAAAACAGAATATGTATACTGGTGTGGGTCAGTAGACCAAATAAAGAGGTAGCAACTTTTTTTTTTTTTTAAATTAGAAACAGCATCGCACTCTGTCACCCAGGCTGGAGTACAGTGGGGCAACCCATAGCCACTTAAGCCTTGACCTCCTGGGCTTAAGTGATCCTCCCATCTCAGCCTCCTGAATAGATGAGACTGCAGGCATCTGTCACCACACCAGGATAATTAAAATGTGTGCATGTGCGTGTGTGTGTGTGTGTGTGTGTATGTGTGTGTGTGTGTGTGTGTAGTAGGGATCTTGCTATATTACCCAGGCTGGTCTTGAATTCCTGGCCTCAAGCAATCCTGCCGCCTCAGTCTCCAAAAGTGCTGAGATTACAGGCATGAGCCCTGCACCTGGCCAGTGGCAGCAACTTGATAATGACAGGTTTTATAGTCAAGTAAAAAAGGAACTCAGGAGAATTTTAAACAGACTGACATAAGAGAGGCATTTCTACTGCAGGGTGATTTATTTTCTAATGTAAGCCAATATAGTTAACAAAACTCACAAAGTTCTACTGAGCAATGACTACATTCAAATATTTTACAATGCAAGGTGCTATAAGAGATAAAAAATGTGAGAGAAACATGATCTTTACTTTCGAGTAGTAGAAAGGATGAGATGAGCATAAAAACTGTAGCACAAGACCAAATACAGTACTACTGTGCTATATAAAGAGAGATTAGGCAGCTCAGAAGGAGGAATTAAAGCTCGATTGCATATATCATATAATCCCAAGGACTATTTTTTGGAGATAGGAAGATTGAAGTACATTCTGAAACTAAAGGAGTCCCATATCTTCGCAAATTAAAAAAAAAGTTTTTTCTTTTTTCTAAAGAGCAGAAGAAAAAAAATTCTCTAACTCTTTTAATTTGTTGCCTACTTCAAGTTGAAAACAACTCCAGCTATCACTTCACTGAATTCAGTTCATAAAATCTCCAGTGATTACCCAAATTAAAAGAGAATCATTGAGTTGCAGGAATGTTTTCGCTGACTACTTGAATTTTCATGCCATTGACTTGGAAAAGTTGGATTTGTGTTAGTCTTGTAAATAAGCTTTCAGTACTGCACCTGTAAACTTGCCTAAATTTATGATGTATAGCCTGATGCTGGAGAAAGACCAAGAAGGCTGAAATCTGAAATTTAATGACTCCCAGCTACAACAATGCAAGTGTTCATTGTCTTATCTATCTTATCCCACCTTGGTAAGTTAAATCAGGGCAAAGTAAAGCTCTATTACTTGAAGTAGTAAAATTAAAAGTTAATTGGTCTTTCATAATTAATTCATTACTTTAACTACATATAAGAACTTTATAAAGGGGTCATAGGTACCACGTGGAAATTGTTTTACTAGACAGCATAGGAGTTGAGGGCACAAAATAATGGAGTTATGAATGTGGATTCTAGAGTCAAGCTGCTTGCGTTCAAATTTTAGTTCTGTCATGTATTAGCTGAATTATTTTGTGCAAGTCACTTAACCTTTCTGTGCCTCTGTTTCCTCATCTATAAAATGCAGATAATTACAATACGAAACTCATGGGGCTGTTGTGAAAATTAACAGTTAAAAACCTTACTGTGAAGCATCTGAAGCAATACCTGGCACAGTATTAACTATTATTTATAGCTAAGGAACTTTGAGGCCCATAACATAGGTGATTTGTGCTAGGTCACACATTGGAACTAGTACCTAAGTCTCTTGAATCTCAAGGTAATCCCAGTTTCCACTGGATAATATGTTTCTGATAGAGAATGAAGAGGTATGGCTGGGTGTGGTGACACATGCCTATAATCCCAGCACTTTTAGAGGCCAAGATGGGAAGACTGCTTGAGGCTAAAAGTTTGAGATCAGTCTGGGGAGAGATGGAGGGAGGGAGGTAAGGAAGGAGAGGAAAGAAAGGAAGGAAAACAAAGAAAGGAAGGAAAAAAAAAACAAAGGGGGTGTTTTCACAAGCTTATCTTTCCTTAACTAATTTTTCAAAACCAACATGAGTACCTTGAAATAGAAGTTATATTGTATTTTCTCACTTGTGGCCTTTATTGGTCACTTTATTGGTCAATTAATTATACTTTGGGCACTGACAGCTGCTTTGATGTCCAGCTCACAAACTTTCTCCCCACTGTATACTGGCTTTAACCCAGCATACCTGTACCTCCTCTGATAATCTAGAACCACTGATTGGGTCACAGCTATGCAGGAAGCAGCGAATCTGAACAGCATAGAACCAAAGGAGAGGAAAAAAAACACAAAAAAGAATAAATTTTGCAGGGTCAAGGAACTGGTAAGTTTCCTTGAATGGGTAACTGGCTCTGAAAACAATTCCAAGAGAAAAGTTGCAAAAGTATTTTGAGGAAGGAGTTTTTTTTTTTTTTTAAGTATAATTAAACTATATTAACCGAGAAAAATAATACTTTCCATTTTCTTGGCGCTAAATAATAAGAGGAAAACAACTGAAGTGGAAAAAAAGCAGTGTTCTGATGGTTACAAATCATTATTCCAAAATGATGTGTATAATTTTAAATTAAGATATGTACATGATCAGTTGTTCTACAAATACAAGGCTGTCTGCTTTCGAGTTTAGCTATCGCATATCAAAGCTTTGATGACTGTGTTTTTGTTTTTACCACTGTGAAATGAGATCAAAGAACAGAAAATAGAGGAATAACATTAAAGATGTTAAATATTATATGCAATTATGAATCTAGCATAAATGATATTTCTCTGCTTTATATAAACCAATCATTTAAAAGAAAACTAAAATCTAGGCTTAAAAATACTTTAACTGAAAAAGAAATGGAAACAGAGTTATAAAGACTTGCTTTAGATTATAAAGTAAACTAAGGGTAATGAAGGAATTAAAATTCATATTCCTAGGATACTATTTTCTTTATAAATCATAGAAAATAGGTCCAATGGTATTAATCCACTATGGAGAAAAAGAAAATCTAAATAATAGTAAAAATATTAGTGGGAACAAGCAAGTCTAAAGAATAGTAAAACTATTCTTGAAACAATTATTACATAAAATATTGTTAATTATTGTCATTTTCTGCTTATAAATTATAAAAATACCTTTTTGATGCTGAAAACAGATATATTTCTCCTTGGGAACACCAACAACATTTAATTTTTACAAAGAAAACTAAATACCCGTTTTAGTTTTTCATTTTCTTCCAAAAATTTTTTGGCAGCCTTGTTAGTATTTTCTGCTTGAGTTTTAAGTACACCTTTGTTTGACAGTTCTTTTGCCAGTTGAGTAATAAGCGTAACCAGACGTCTCAACACTCTAAGAAAAACAAACAAACAAACAAACAAACAAACAAACAAACAGAATAATGTATTAGTAGACCAATCATCAGAAACCTATTTTAAAACAGTCATTGCCAAATGACTCCCCAGGTATAGGTGTGGTGGATGTAGATGGTGGTTAGAACACATTATTATTTTTTTTGAATTCAACTCTCTTAGTAAAAGCAGGCCCATGTTTCATTCCTTTGGAATCTTTGTTAGAAAACCAGCATTTGGAATAAAGGTTCAGTGGTACTTATTTTTTTCCTGTAGAAGGCTTTAACTTAGAGGAGCAGAAACAGGAAAATTTCAGACAGTGTGGCAGAGCCAGTAAGAAAATTCTTTTTTTGGTCCAGTTCAAATTCTGCTATTTAAGGAACAGTGTATAAGGTCAACCAAGCCGAAGAACTGCTCATTCACATCTGTTTATGGGTAACTGCCATTGTTAGAAGTAGTGACTATGATCTTCAATTATGCACCCAGCAGACATTCAATTACTGAAGAACTGCTAAGTGTCAAGACACTCTGCTAGGCACCGAAGACACAGCGGAAAACAGTAGGGTCCATGTCCTCAGGGGTTTAGCTCCTATTTGGGGAAGCAAAAGTTAAAACAGTATTGAATTACAACCATGAATGACACTAGAAAATGAAATATATATATTCTTTGAGCACCTATAAGAGAAGACCTACCTACTTTGAGGGTAGTAATGGCCACAGAAGGCTCCTTTGAGAAAGAGGCTAATGGATGAATAACAGCCAGGAAATGAGGGAAGAAAAGTGTTCTGGCAAAAGGAATAGCTTGTGTAAAGACCATAAAATAGGAAAGAGTTAGGTACACTACAGAACTCAATCAATATTTGTTGCAAGATTGAATGAATGAATAAATGGTGAAGGTCAGTAAGGGTGGAATGCATTGTACACATCAGAAACACATATGAGACAAGGCTCCACAGAGAGATGGGGGCCTGATCATTCAAGGCCTTATGGGCTTGGCAAACCTACAAGCTGTTAACTACTGTTTGTTCTTTGGGTATTTTATCTGAGTTCTTTTACAAAGATGTTATTTACAAATCTACAGTAGGCTGGGTACAGTTACTTGTGCCTGTAATCTCAGTACTTTGGGATGCTGCGGTGGGAAGACCACTTGAGGCCAAGAGTTGGAGACCAGTTTGGGCAACAAAGTGAGACCCCATCTCTACAAAAAATTTAAAAATTAGCCCTACATGGTGGTGTGCACCTGTAGTCCTAGAAACTTGAGAGGCTGAAGAAGGAGGATCGCTTGAACCCGGGAGTTTAAAGTTACAGTGAGCTATGACGGCACCACTGCACTGCAGCCTCGGCAACAGAGCAAAAGGTTGTCTCTCTTAAAAAAAAATCTATAGTAAAGGTGGACAAAATGAGAAAGTGAAGCAAAATCATGTTTTTAAATTGTGCTCCTACTATTATTTTTTTTTTTTACTTACAGCCAAAAAAATAGAGAAAATCCAGAAATGTAAAGATTTCTTTGAGACCTAAAAAGTTTCATCTGTGTGTGTTCATATGCATCAGGTCTGCTGGTAGAACTCTTCTCAATGGTATGAACTGAGGAATATTTCCTTACTTCTCGCACAGCATCTATTACAGAAGAAAATAAAACATTACTTTTGGCTTTTAAGAATGTAAATTTGTTAAAAATGGAAAGCAGTTTCAGAATAACTGGCCAAACTTTTAAATAATGGACTTCAGGTAGAGGTGATGTTTTGCATTCCCTCTACAGTACCTGGGAAGTTTTCAAGCTCAAAGTAAGTGCTCTGTAAATGGACGCTAGTAGCATATTTTGAATTACTATAGCATTTTAAAAATTATTCATCTAGTACTTGCCATCATTTTATTGTTTCTCATCTCTAACTATACTGCAAACTATCACTCTTTACATTTTTTGTCTCTAGGATGATTAAAATTCAGCCCCATTATAATCAATTCCAAGAGACTATCCCATTTCTTACTATACTAGCATTTTATTACATATTATTACTTTAAATGATTGAGATTTTCAAAATATTTGGTTACACTGAAATTTCCACTGGCATAAGGTTTGTTAAAATGGGATTTGATCTATGGCAGCATACTCTCCCCTGACTGAAATGTAGTGGATGGCAGCTGCCAGTGGAAATGTTCAGATACTTGCTTCTTTGATGCATTCAGTTCTGGGAAGTCTCAGATGCAGGGGAACCACTTTTTTCCAGGGGAAAATAGATATCAGCTTATCATCATCTATATTTAGTGTATTGTTAGTCACTGGATTCTTATATGTACAAGGGAAGGCATCTGCCTTAGAAGTCTCAAAATCCATTGGAGGTATGAACAAGTTAGAATGCTCCCCTTTCATGTGACCAACCGAAGTCCTGGGTAAAAGCTATTGCCACACAAGGAGACTCCAGTTAGAAAACTGAGGCCATTTTGACTACTATTTTATATTTAGCAGCTTCACTGAGATATAATTCACATACCATAAAGATTTACCTTTTTAAAATGTGTAATTCTGTAGTTTTTAGTCTATTTGCAAAGTTGTGCAACCATTACTACTATCTAATTTCAGAACATTTTCACCACCCCACAAAGAAAATCTATATACATCCGTCACTTCCCCCAGCTCCTGGTGACCACCAATCTGCTTTCTGTCTCTATAGAACTACCTGTTCTAGACATTTCATATAAGTTGAATCATATACTATCTGGTCTTTTATGTCTGGTTTCTTTCACTTAGTAATGTTTTCAAGGTTTGTCTGCACTGTAGTATGTGTCACTACTTCATTGCTTTTATGTCTGAATAATATTCCATTGTATGAATGTGGTAACATTTGGTTTACCCATTCATTGGTTGATGGGCACTGAGCTGTTTCCAGTTTCCGGCAATTATGAATAATGCTGCTATGAACATTCATGTGCAAGTTTTTCACCAGCATATGTTTTCATTTCTCTTGGTATATACCTAAGAGATGAACTGCTGGGCCATATGGTAACTCTATGTTTAACTTCTGAGGAACTGCCAAACTGTATTCCAAAGAAGCTGTACTAATTTACATTCCCACAAGCAGTGTATGTTGGTTCTAATTTCTCCATATCCTCAGCAACACTTGTTATTATCTTTTTGATTACAGTCATCCTAGTGGGTGTGAAGTGGCATTTCTTTGTGCTTTTGATTTGCATTTCTCTGAAGGCTAATGCTGTGGAACATCTTTTCATGTGCTTGTTAATCATTTGTACATCATATTTGGAGAAATATCTATTCAGATCCCTTGCCCATTTTAAAATTGGGTAATTTGATTTCTTTGTCTCTTAAGTGTCTTCCATAGAATTTTTTTCAAACTGAGAATTTTATAATAGCTATTCATCACACATAGTTATGTTTCTGTAGTCTTTTGACATACATTACTTTTATTAAATAGGTGCCAGACCAACTGTTTAATAGAAAGTTCTCATATTCTGGCTGGGTGTGATGGGTCATGCCTGTAATGGCAGCACTTTGGGAGGCAGAAGCAGGAGGACTGATTGAGGCCAGGAATTTGAGACCAGCATGGGTAACATGATGAGGCCCTGTCTTTTTTAAATATTAAAAAATAGGCAAAAAGAAAGTTCTCACTTTCTGAATTTGTCTGATGGGAGTGTAGTCTAATTTCTTTCTCTAACTCCTATATTTTTAGAAAACCAGAAGTCAGACTTCATTGGTTCTGCCAGGCCTCAGAAAGTAAAAATAAAATAAAACAAATACTTGATTGGATTAGGTTTAACACTTTTGGCAAGAATCCCTCATAATTTATGCTGTGCAATGTTAGTTTGCCTCATACTTTTTGATGCTAAATTTGATTACTTAGTTAAAATGGTGTATCAGTAAGGGTTCTTCAGGGAAACAGAACCAATAGAGAGAGAGAGAGAGAAAGAGAGGGAGAGAGAGAGAGAGAGAGAGTGTGTGTGTTATGTGTGTGTGTGTGTGTGTGTGGCAGAGTCGGGCAGAGGGCAGAGAGAGAAAGAGAAAGAGAAAGAGAGAGAGCGAGCTTGAGATTTATTTTAACCAACTGGCTCACATGCTTGTAGAGGCTTGTTAAATTTAAAATCTGCAGGGTAGACTGGACGTCTAGAGATTCAGGGAAGAAATATAGTTTGAGTCCAAAGACAATCTGCTGGCAAAATTCCTTTTTGCTCAGAGGAGGTCAGTCTTTGTTCTAGTAAGGCTTTCAACTGATTAGATAAAGCACACTCACATTTTGGAGGACATGATTAGCTTTACTCGAAGTCCACTTATGTAAATGTTAATTTTATCCTAAAAACACCTTAACAGCAATGTCCAGGATAATGTTTGACCAAACATCTGGGCACTGTGGCACAGCCAAGTTGACACACAAAATTAGCCATCACAGATCATGACTACCTGATTTCTCCGTTTTAAAGCTCTGCTTTTACCTTTGCAATTAGCAAGATACCTGTTTTTATTTTCTCCTTTACTGCTGAAATCTGGTAGTGTCAATCTCCCAATTTTGTTATTAGTAAAGATTTTTTGGCTGTTATATGAGTTCTTTGCATGTTTGCACAAATTTTAGAAGCAACTGATCCACTGCTACAAAAATGCCTGTTGGGTTTCTGACTGGGACTGTGTCAAGTCTGTAGATCAGTTCTGTAAGAACAGTCTTTCCAAATGATGAAAACACCTCCATTATTTTGATCTTCTTTAATTTCTTTCAGCAATGTTTTTGTAGTTTTTTTGTATATAGCTGTTGTGCCTCTTTATAATGTTTATTTCTAAGGTTTTTAGGCTTCTTGGTGTATTCAGAAAAGATTTTAAATTTTAAAAAAATTTCATTTGCCTATTGTTTACTGCTTATAGTAAAGAAATACAATTACTGACCGACCTGTATTTTGTGAACCCACTATATTAATTTCTTTGTTATAATAGCTTTTTTGTAGATAATTCGGGATCCTTTCTTTATTTTTATTTTTTTCTGGGACAGGGTTTCCCTTCGTCACTCAGGCTGGAGTACAGTAGTGTCATCACAGCTCACTGCAGCCTCAGCCTCTTGGGATCAAGTGACCCTCCCATCTCAGCCTCCTGAGTAGCTGGGACTACAAGTGTGAGCCACCACGCCTCGCTAATTTTTGTACTTTCTGGTAGAGACAAGGTTTTGCCATGTTGCCCACGCTGGTCTCAAACTCCTGCGCTTAAGCAATCTGCCTGCCTCAGCCTCACAAAGTGGTAGGATTACAGGAGTGAGCCACCATGCCAGGCCAGGATTTTCTGTATAAATAATCATGCCATTTGCAAATAAGAATGTTATACTTCTTTCTTTGCAATCTTTTTGCCTTCTATTTATTTTCCTGACTATTATCCTGGCTAGGACATCTATTACTTAAATGAATAAACAGAGCATGAATATCCTTGCCTTGTTTCCAATCTTAAGGGAGAAGCCTTCGATATTTAAGTATGATGCTAGCTTGAGGTTTTTTGTAGATCTTCATCAGAATGAGAAAGTTTCCTTCTAAATCCTAACCTACTAATCTTTTTAAAGAAACTGAGTGAATATTATTTTTTTCACTGTCAGTATTCATTGAGTAGATATTATTAAGGTGGAAACTGAAATCACTGATTTTTAAATCTTCTTTTTGAAAAGTAAGCATTCAAACCTATGAATTTTCCTTTAAGCAGTGCTTTAATGGCATCTTACAAATTTTGATATATTGTATTTTCATTATTGTTCAGTTAAAATATTTTCTAATTTCCTTTGTGAGTTCTTTGATCCAAGGATTACTAACAAGTCTTCTTTAATTTTCAAACATGTATGGGTTTTCCAGGTGTCTGTTACTGATTCCTATTTTACATACTCTGTAGGGGCTGGGCACAGTGGCTCTCATATGTAATCCCAGCATTTTGGGATGGGGGAGGATCACTTGAGGCCAAGAGTTTGAAACCAGCCTGGGCAGCAAAGCAAAAAGTTTGTCTCTATTAGACAGCAAAAACAAAACCCACATACTCTATGTGATTCCAATCCTTGGTAGGATTTCAATCCTTTGTATTTATTGAGACTTGCTTTATGAACCAGAGTATAATGTATCTTGGTGAACAGAGTTTAGTATAATCATGTATCCTTGCAAAGATTATGTATTGCAGGGGTCCTCAACCCCTGGAGTCAAACACCAGTACTGCTCCATGGCCTGTTAGGAACCGGGCTGCACAGCAGGAGGTGGATGACAGGCCAGTGAGCTAAGCTTCATCCGTATTTACAGCCACTCCTTATTGCTCACATCTGATAGCCTGAGCTATCAGATCAGTGGTGGCCTTAGATTCTGATAAGAGGGTGAGACCTATTGTGAACTGCACATGTGAGAGATCTAGGTTGCATGCTCTTTATGATAATCTAATTCCTGATGATCTGCCACTGTCTCCCAACATCCCCAGATGAGAATGTCCAGTTGCAGGAAAACAACCTCAGGGCTCCCACTGATTCTACAATACAATGAGTTGCATAATTACTTCATTATATATTACAAAGTAATAATATTAGAAATAAAGTACACAATAAACATAATATGCTCGAATCATCCCGAAACCATCCCCTGGCTCCTGCCTGTGAAAAACTGTCTTCCATGAAACTGGCCCCTGGTGCCAAAAACGCTGGGGGCTGCTGATGTACAGTTTATAGCTGTTTAGAGAGGCTTGATTTTTATACATTTTTAGGGTTAAGTCTGTTTTTTGCTTTAGGTCTTAGTTACAGTAAATTCCTAATTCCTGGGATATAGTCTCTATTCCTAAGAAGTAGTCCTTCTGCAATTTTAGTGGCAAGGTTCAAGGTCTTTACCAAGCCTCTCTAACTTGATGAAGCTCATACTCCAAACTCTGTCTCTCCTTGACAGCCAGCGGCCAAAATTTCTTCTCAGCCTTGCGGCTTTCAGCTGGCTGTTACTTCTCCGTTGAGCTCCCTGGAATCTTTCCTACACATCGATGGTTCCAGAGTCAACCAAGAATTTGAGGTGAGTTTATATGTAGATTTTGGGGTTCCCTTTCTGTGTTCTCTCCTTTCTTAGACATCCCTCTTATTTTCTAATCTCTCTGACCTCTGACCCCTTAAGTCAGTAAGAGTGGCTTTTTGTTTTGAGTTCTATATAGCTGCCTATGCCACATGACTAGAAAGTAGTTGGAAGAAAGGCTATATAAATGTGATCTCACCCAGTGTGATTTCCTTCTTTTAAGGGTTGACTTCCCTGTAGTTTCTGCCTGTTTTTGGTTACTCTACCAGGGCTTCAAATACATTTTTTCATATTTTATCAAGGGTTTATAATTGTTAACACAGGAAGAATAGTATAATACAACTTGTTTTGCCATGACCAAAGTCATAATCCAATGTCTTTGAAAAAAAATAGGTTTTAATTTACTGAGGCAAAATTCATATAACATAAAACCACTTTAAAGTGAACAATTCAGTCTTGCTTAGTATATTCACAATGCTATGCAACTATACCACCTCAATCTAGTTCCACATTTCCATAATCTAAAATAAAACCCATATAAATTACTTCAAAATTTAAAAATTCTTAATTTTTGACTTTATATTTGTATGCCATATCTATTCATGAAAGTCTTAGTTTCTAATACTATGAACATACTCATTTGCTTGATGCTGCAATATATATAAAACAGCTTTTATGAAGCTCCTGGAAGAGGCTTTAACTCGGATGCGCCCTCCACCAGGAACCAGTGGGCCGAGGTGGTCAGATTGCTTTGAGCTCAGGACCAGCCTGGGCAACATGACAAAACTCTATCTTTACAAAAAATAAATAAAAAAAAAATAGCCAGGGGTTAGTGGCTCTCTCCTGTAGTCCCAGCTACTTGGGAGGCTGAGGCTGGAGAATTACTTGAGCCCAGGAAGCAGAGGTTGCAGTGAGCCAAGATAGCGCCACTGCATTCCAGCCTGGGTGACAGAGTGAAATCCCATCTCAAAAAAAAAAAAAAAAAAAAAAAAAAAAAAAAAAAAAAAAAAAAAAAAAAAGAAATGAAAAAATACAAATAAAAAGAAAATGTATACAAAAAAGTTACCTTATTTAGAGATACAACTAAGAAAAAGGAAATAAATCTCAAAGTAAAATATAAATTAAGCACGAGTAATCCACTGGTTTTGCATTATTTATGTCATTGTTGTGATTGGAACATCAGGCTATGCACTTTACATATGTTACTGCATTTAAATCTTAAAACACCAAAGTAAGTGTCATTACTCCATTTTGGATGGAGACCTAGAGGATAAGTACCTGTCTGCTGGCCTTAACTATCCATGATGTCCTTGTTCCCTGTTTGCCCAAAGATGCAGGCTTCAGCCAGCAGTCATCATTCTGCCTTGTGACTCTCCTGGTTATAGGAGATGAGGAGTGAATACCTGATGCCAGCTGGTCCAACTTTTTTTCTTTGATTTGGAATTGGGTTTCAGAGATGGTGAATTAATCCTTGCATATGTCTGGAATGGTAACACCTGGCAGTTGTGTGGTACTTATTTTCTGCCTTGGAGATATAGTATCAGAGTTCATAATAAAAGAAGAATGAAGTACATATATAGGGAAAATGTATGGACAAGAAAAGGACACTTCAGTTCCAAGTACTAAGCCCTCCCTAGAGTTTGGCTTCCCTGGGCCACTCTGCAACAACCCTGTATTTTATTAAAAATTTTCCTTGTTTGGTCAAGTGAGTTCAAGTTTTTTTGAGATGAAGCTTGCTCTTGTTGCCCAGGCTGGAGTGCAATGACACTGCGATCTCGGCTCACTGCAACCTCTGCCTCTTGGGTTCAAACAATTTTCCTGCCTCAGTTTCCCAAGTAGCTGGAATTACAGGCACGCAACCCCACACCCAGCTAATTTTTGTATTTTTAGTAAAAATGGGGTTTTACCACGTTGGCCAGGCTGGTCTTGAATTCCTGACCTCAGGTGATCCACCCACCTCAGCCTCCCAAAGTGCTGGGATTACAGATGCGAGCCACCACGCCTGGCCAAGTTGATTTCTAATGTAACCAAAAGAACCTATACTACAGCTCCCCTCCCTAACATGATAAGCGAAAGTTTTATGTCGAAATTTTTGTGATAATTTTAGAGTTAGAAGATCACAATACTCTTGCAGAAGCTGCGGAGAGTATTTCCATCTCTCCCTTCATTTCACAAGATAAATAAATCAAACCCAGAGAAATAAAAGCCATTTTCAAAGGCCACTTAGTTAGCTGGTGGCAAAACTGGAACCAGTTTTCCTTATTGTTCTTTACTGATTTATTGTGACTAATTATATGGCCAGATTCAATCCATAACATTAATAATGCACCATGAAACAAATACTTACATTTTGAAAAGAGGCACAAACCATTCACACCCAGATACAATTAGCTTTCTGTTTTTGACAACACCATTCCTTCTCAAACCAGATGTTCTTAGTTTTATACAGAGGATTCTACTTGCGAGGTTGGTGGTTTGGAACATGGAAGACATTTTCTCACAAAACAGTATCAAAGGTGGCGATTAGGTTCCCAAGCTCGCCTCTCTAAACCCTATTTAGAGAGGAAATTCTGAGGGAAAACACACTCTGTGCAAGAAGGGGCATTTCAAGAAGTAGCTGGGTAATCTTAGACAAGTCACTTAATCTCTCTAAGCTCAGTAACAACAACTAGAAAAACATGGCGATTATTTAGACTCATGGAACTTCTGGTTTGACAAGAACCTAAAGGTCTACTTTTAATTTCTAAAATACTGTTATGAAAATTTAAAACGTGCTGAAAAACGAGTACAACAAACATCTATAATCCCAACACCTAGATTCAGCAACTGTTAACAATTTGCCATATTTGCTTTATTTGTCTTTTTAAAAACCATGTGAAAGTTAAGTTGAAAACCTGACACTTGACTCTTTAAATATTTCAGCATGCATGTCCTAAGACTAAGGGCATATTCTTACATAAAAAGTGTTAGTAAACTTTTTCAGTAAAGAGGCAGACATTAAATGTTTCAGTCCATACAGTTGCAACTACTCAACTATGTATTTGTGGATGGAAACAGGCATAGATATTATGCAAACAAATGAGCATGGTCATTTTCCAATAAAACTTTATTTATAAAAATAGACATTTGGCCCTCAGGATATATAGGTTGCTGACCCCTGCTATGTAACAATACTGTTATCACAACTAAAGTTAACAAAAATTCCCTAATATTATACAATTATTCCATATTCAAATTTTTGTAGCAGTCCCCAAATCTATGTTGCGGGGTTTTTTTTTTTTTTTTTTTTTAAGAAAGGGTCTTACTGTTGCTTAGGCTGGAGTGCAATAGCTCACTGCAACCTTGAACTTCTGGGCTCAAACAATCCTCCAGTCTCTCAGCCTCCCGAGTTGCTGGGACTACAGGTGCAAACCACCACACCTGGCTAATTTTTACACTTTTTGTAAAGATAAGGTTTCACTATGTTGCCCAGGCTGGTCTCAAACTCCTGGACTCAAGCGATCCTCCCGCCTTGGCCTCCCAAAGTGCTAGGATTATAGGCATGAGCCACTGCACCCAGCTATGTTTTTTTTTTTTTTTAACCCAGTCAAAATTCACACCATGAATCTAAGACTCCTTTGGAGAGCCTAATGATTCTATTCTTTTGTTTGCCTTTCTAACAGCTAAGCTCTTGGGTGCTTGGGCCTTAACAATAACAAAGGAGAGACAACACCATGAGAAATAATGTCTGGTAACTCTGAACAGCAGGCTTCGCATTAATGTACTGCATTTAAATCTTAAAATAACCTAAAAGAGGTAAAAAATGATTGCACCCTGTTGAAACTTAAGCTTGAACATATGGAATGGTAGTATCTATCAATTGTGTATCAATATATCAGTATCCACTCTATGTACTACCAATATACTATACAAAGTCAAATGTGCACCAATTGCAACATCAACTCTATTAATTAAAAACCAAGAAATTCATTAAAAAAAAGAGTTATACTTATTCAAACAAGGGATCTAGTACTTACCTAGAAATAGAACAATCAATAGGATGATAATGGTAAGGAAAGCCTTGTTCCAAAAAGTTGCAATTTTACCCCAGACATTAAATGAAAAAATCTTCTGCCATCTGTAAAGCAATAAAATTACGTTAGGTATTAAAAAAGCAAAATAAAGTTTTGAAATACTTTCTAAATACTGAAGTAACATTTTGGTAATTGTGTAGCAAGTGAAAAGAATTACAGAAATTTAATTTTAAAATTTATTAATTCTGACATGACATAGAATACCTCATGAATTAAAAAACAACTCTTTCAAATTTAATAATAACCTAATATTTAATTATACTCTGTCTGGTGGCTTAAATATTCTAAAAGTAAACATACATGAACAAAACCTTAAAACAGAATTCTGGCAGTAGTAAAATGTTATATTGTTGATAGAAGCTATTACTCTGTATCTTTTTCATGGTCAGAGCAATGACCTAGAAATAATGAAGATACATTGTTCTAACAATTGGCAACATTTCAGGAGTGGGGTCTAACTCTGCACATTGATTTTTATACAGCACGCTTTTTTTTTTTTTTTTTTTGAGACTGGGCCCCCTCTGTCGCCTAGGCTGGAGTGCAGTGGCACGATTTAAGCTCACTGCAACCTCCGCTTCCCGGCTTCAAGCGATTCTCCTGCCTCAGCCTCCTGAGTAGCTGGGACTATAGGCATGTGCCACCACTCCCGGCTAATTTTTGTATTTGTATTTTTAGTAGATACAGGATTTCAGGATGGCCTTGAACTCCTGACCTCATGATCCACCCACCTCTGCCTCCCAAAGTGCTGGGATTATAGGCATGAGTCACTGCACCTGGCCTACACAGTACACTTTTAACATATACTCCAAGTAAAAGTTTCTCTACTTTAACCATGAGGGAGTTAAAAAAATTACCCAGTAATTATATACAAAAATTGAAAAAAATCTTAAATATGTAGTTTGATAACATTCACACACATGACACACATATATAAAACCATGTAATTACTACAGGTATAAGATGTAAACATAGAGGATATGAGATGGGGAAATAAACAGCCTAGATAGATTGAACAGTACAAGCAAAGACAGTGGTAAGAAAGTATGGGTTGTAATGGCAGAGTAACAATCCATCACACAAAAGGAAAGGTAACAGACTTTGTACAAGGGCAATTTAAATGAGTAAAATTTTAGTAAAAGGAGACAAAAAAAATGTAATAAGCACTTAAATACACTTCATGAGCTACAGCTTGAAAAAAAAGTTTCACTTTAAGATTAGGACAAATTATTAACTAATAAACTTTGAAAACAACTTTAACTACTTGACATTGGTGAGGAGTGGGAGATTCATACAGATGTACTGGTTCCTTTTGTGTCTGCTTCCAATTCCAAGCTTTTTATATAGACAACATATAAATTATACAATATAAAACTTTTATATTATTAAGAGAACATAAGTGGTAATATCTTCATCTACGTCCAAATGTACATTTACTTATTTCTTCAAGGTTTAGTGTAGTGTAAAAGGGCACATAAGAGACCTCCCGTTGGGAACAACTTAAAGTGCTCCATAGGGAGCACCTTATCATAGCTAATATATATTGTGTTCTCACTATATTATGGTTCTAAGTACTTTTGCATGTTTTCTCTCATTTAATTACAACAACTACCATATGAAGTAGACACTAGTACTACCTCCATTTTACAGATTGGGAAACAGATCAGAGAAGATCAAGAGCATGCCCAGGGTTAGTAACATACAGTTATAGGTGACCTGATTTCTGAGCATGTGCTTTCAACCATTGGGTTATGTAAGAGAAGAACAGAGACTAAATGATGAAATATTTTCTTTAAAGATTATGGTGACACACACATAAAAGATAAAAAGATATCGATAGACACATAGTAAGGACATATTGTAAATGATCTGTGTGCATACATACCGTATTTTCTTTATATTTGTACATGAGAGTATATTTACATATCGTGCATATATACGCACATCTATCTAATAGCTACTTTATCAGGATAGGTAAAATTTTTATATGGCAGGAAGAAAAATATTGATCCATAACTTATAGACCACTTTGATGGAGAAAAGATCAACTAACAATTTTTTCTTCTTTGCAAACCCTTAAGCCTTATCTATAAATTAGATGTTTATAAACAAGATCTTTCTTTCTCTTGAATATATAGGATTCTATCATTGCAAATATTACCAAAAGGCAAAACAGGGTTTTATTGAGTTTGAAACAAAACCTACAGGATGAGAGGCAGCATGATGGAGTAGAAAGAATACTAGACTAAGAGCCAGATTTTTGTCCAGAATCTGTCACTTACCAGCTGGGTAACCTTGGCTACTTGCCCTCCTGGGTCTCAGTACATGATCTACAGAACACGGGTGGTATAGATCAAATATCATAGCCCCTACAGTATGATTCAACTTTTTTCTTCAGTAAGAAAAAAACGTACTGAGCTTAACTTAGCTGATAGACAAGGACAGAAGAGAGCAGAAATCCAGGCAGGTAAGGAGCAAGTTAGGAGTTGTGAAAGACTATCTGGACCCTGAGCTAAGGTAAAACTTTAAGAAGTTTCTCCCAGTCCTGGGATTTTACTATACTTTAGTGGGTTATCTCTAGAATCTCATCTATGAAAGATTTTCTTTTAAGCCAGGAGTATGAACTGGCAAAATGTCTTGCAACATTTTTATTACATGTGTATTTCCCCATTCATACTATCAAATTTCTGGGTCTAAAACCAAATGACTAAAAAGTGGATTATTACATGGGTAAAATGAGCCAGTGCTTGGCTAGAAATACTATACTTGGTTCTTAAAAACCTTAGAAGTTCTTTCACTAAAGAACCAATGCTAATACATGGCTTGATACTTTACACATTCAACACTTTTAATATACATTCATTAATGTTATGAGAAATAAAAAGTAATAAAATTGTCATTAAACAGTAATGAAACTATTTCTTGGTTACATAGGCCAAAACTAAGAATAATTTATTGGCTTTGGTTTTCTAAATTGCTGTTCCAGTGCCTCAATTAAACATTTTTACACCCATACAATACTGTAAACATGATTTATCCATTTATATTTATTTAGTTCATGGCTTCACAGCGCAACAAAAGAAAAGTGAAACCCGAGACAAGGCAGGACAGGTGTTAAATAATCGCTGCTGTATTATATCTGTAATCAACAGAATCAAAAGTACAGGCCCTTTTCCTTTTAGAAGGGAAGAAAAAGTTACTTCACTTGTACACATAACAGAGTTTTATATAAAATGTTATTTTAATATTGTCATTATATGCTACCTAATTTGTTAGGTGAGTTTATTTTCAAAGGCATTCGAAACTTTGTAATCTTCAGAAAACTTTTCCATTTTACATTACACAGTCTAAAGGAGTGATCCAATATTATAACTGTCAAGGATTTGAAGGTTTCCTACCTCTGAGGAGGAATAAAAGGTAGGCAGAAGATTAAAATGAGTCCTATTTCGGCATAAAGAAAGGTTGCCACTGCCGCCCATTGGAGTGTCATTTTTTTTCTTCACACCTAAATGGGGAAACACTTATTTTAATCTTGCTTCCGTTCAAACAAAACCGGGTTCGAGGCCCCGAGGCGCAGCGTTTTTGTTGAGGTGGTGGGCTGTGTCCGACCTTCCCCCACCTGGGGAGGCCGGCACGGACCCCGGCCGGGAACGGGGAAAGGGTGGCCCGGGAGGCCTGTGGCGTCACCTCCCCGGGAGTCCTGTGGAAGTGGCGAGGCGACCCGCTGGCCGCTGCCTCTTCCGCCAGCTTCCCGGCAACAGAAGCCCAACGCCTCCCTCCACCAACGCCCTGCTTCGCGGCCCTCCCGCTCCCGAAGGCGCCGCGGCCAGGGCCGGACCAGGCCAGTTCCGCTAGGTTCTCCAGACCAGGCAGCGGCGCTCTTCCTCCGCGGCCTAGCGCCCCACGGGTCCCCGGGTCGCGGCCGGCCTTACCCGCCGGCGGCCCGCCTCGCTCCCCGCGCTCCTCCGCGGCCGCGGACGCTGCGGACGTCAGACGCAGCGGCCGGGCGCGGGACGGTAGACAGGGCCCCACCCCGCCTCCCGCCCGCGCTCCCGCCCGGGGCCTGTCCCGGCTGAGGTCACAGGCGGCTCGCCCACGTTTATTGGCAATTGTTTTCTAACTGGCGGCAGTCAAAGAAGGAGTCAGACTTTTGACCTGATGCTTGGGGGTCCTAGCGCAGCTTCTTCAAGAGGGCAGGCTTTCCGCTGCTAAGTGCGGCCGGCGTGGGAGGGCGCCTCGCGGGGTCCAGGTCTAAGGAGCCGCGCCGGGCAACGGGGCTGGACTGGCCGGTGCAAATTCAGCAAACGCGCTTTAAGAAGCACTCATTTCCTGTCACATCCTCTCTCGGTGGTGGGAACTGTTTGTGTCCAGAATTAAGGAATATTTAATAAAGGGCCAGGATGAGGTGTCGTGCAGCATTTTGTTCTGGAGAAGGTAGGAGCAACTGTAGTATCACAACATACTCCATAGGTGTTCTGTTCCCATCCGTGGGCTAGGAAGAGGCAGTAAACTTCAGGGTGGTGTTTGCGGACTCGCAGGAAAGTTGGTTATGCTGATATTCTTTCAATTACTATTTTTCAGCTTTTCACATTGTGCATATACATTTAAATTGTTGAGTTTTTTTCAATATTGACAATGTATCAGGAATGTAAATATAAGTACTATCCTGGTGACAATTATCTGGGACATAGTAAACAAAGGCTGAAAATAGATTATTATAGAATATAATGCATTCAAAAACACATTTAAGTTGGTGCTTTTTCCTAATTATCACAAATATTCTTGATCACATGTAACAAAAAAGTAGAAAAAAGACTTTGCACATAAATTAACCAAAAGGAAGGTACTTTTTTGTTTTTGTTTTTTTTTGAGTTGGAGTCTCCCTCTTTCGCCAAGGCTGGATTCTGGTGGCGCAATCTTGGCTCACTGCAGCCTCTGCCTCCCGGGTTCAAGCAATTCTCTCGCCCCAGCCTCCTGAATGGCTGGGATTACAGGGACCTGCCATGACGCCTGGATAATTGTTGTATTTTTTACTAGAGATGGGGTTTCACCATGTTGCCCAGACTGGTCTTGAACTCCTGGACTCCAGTGATCTGCCCGCCTTAGCCTACCAAAGTATTGGTATTACAGGTGTGAGGCACCGTGCCAGGAAGTTCCTTTTAATCAAATGTTAGAACTTCTTGCCCATCCACACTGGTTCCTTCCAAACACGGAGCACATTACTCTAGGGATGATGCTGTGCTCACACCAGTAGGATAATTCAATTCAGAGTTCTGACCATACCAATTTTGTACAGTATTCATAGAAAATGAAAAAGCCAGTTATCTTTAAAAAAATGCATTAACTGAAAAGTGAAAAGAGTACCAAGGAAAAAAGATGGCACCACAGTGCTTATGTTAAAATGGATTCATTCAATATTCCCAAACGTGAATTAAAGTTTTACATAATTATTTCCTTATAACAGTGGCAATATAGAATAATACTTTATGAACTGTTTTCAGTCTGAGATACTTAATTCTTGCAGTGCATGCCCACTGATAACAAAATCTGTTAATAACACTCCCAAACCATGACTTTAAAGTCAATTGCTGGGAGGCATAAAATAACATCAAACACAGAATGTGAAAATTAGGTTTTAAAATTAAAAACAAAACCTAGTTACTATTCTCTAGGAAATATTTCAAGTATATAATCATCTCCAGGTTGGCTACCAAATTTCTTATACTTAATATATGGTGGATTGCAGTTAATTTTATCTTTTTAGGTAGCAGTTATATTTATCAAGCTTTCACTCTTCGGAGGATCTAGAAGTTTTGAAATGTACCAAATGTAATGTCGTTAACCAATTGGAATTTTTAGTAAGTTCTGAGTGCAATTCTACTCAGAATTTTTTGTTCTTTTTCATTTTGGATGGATGTTGATATTTGGACCTGCATACTTTTTTGCAGGTGCACCACCTTTTTGCACCTGCATACTTCTTGTTAACTTACAGATACTATGAGCCATACTTAGTATTAAAATAAATTTTATTTAAAAATGTTAACATGAGAAAACATGACTCCTTTAGGAGAAAATTCCAACTCTACCCATCCCCCAAATATCTCCATAACAGGATTCAGAACAGTATTTGTCAGTGTTTGCCTAGGATGATCAGGATGTTTGAACCACTGGGAGTTTTCTTTAAATTGTAAATTCTGGGTTTACTCCAGATCTACCAAATCAGAATCTATGAGGGAGGGGTGGGGTGCAGGACTGACTTTTACAAAATGCTCCCAGGGATTGTTTTTATACTAACATTTGAGAGCTACTTGTTTAAGGTGCAAAATATAATGTTCTGTTGTTTCACTATAGGTCTAAAAGTATATATTTAAATTATTTGGGAAGTCTAGTCAAATGCCATAATGGTCTGTAAGGTAATCTATGATTGCTGATGTGCTTGACAGAGCATTAAATACTCTTTTTTCCTGCCTTGAAGTTATCTTTTCCATCATGTACATTAAATGTTGGTGGAAACACATGTAAGGAGTCCCGAGTTCAAGAGCAATGTCAACCCAGTCCCAGATGCATTTCAGTGGGGTTTCCTCATATCCAGCAAACATGGCCGGGTTTGCTAAAAGTCCTCTTGCAACCATCACACCTACAAATTAAAACACACCATATTTGTCCATACATTAAGAACCCATGGTTATTAGTTCAAACTCAATGAAGCAAACAGAATATTATTTAAAAAGTATTATTACAAGGTTTTAAAATAACTTTATTACACTAGTATGTTTAATTCAATTACAAAAGAATTAAATTTGGTACCTTTTGTAAACCAGAAAAGCTTAAATGTACTTACTTATAGAAATCTTTATTTTTTAAAGATTTGTTCCTTAAACAATGGGTCTTTAGCTTTTCTTTAGGGTAAATCTAGATTGTCATAAATTGGGCTGCTTAAAGTTCAGTTTATCTGTATTCTCCCACCTAGCAATCATAGGGCTTGGCATGCCAATAATTTATGGTAATAGTGAAACTGCGTAGCAGTTCTGGGGTTCATTTGGTTCTTAGCATTCTTGAGTTCACTTACTCTCATTTCTAGGTGCTTTATTTTACTAGTAGGCTATATGGAAAATTCTTCACTGGTCACTAGATATGATGGTGTCAGAAAAGTAACTGAATTAATCTATCCCAGTTAAGATAATCCGTATTTTTCTAGGTTGAAAAGTTAACATCATTTCAATAAATCACTTAGCTTAACTCAGCTCATTGGGAAAATATGGCTTAATGTTAAAGAAAATGAATAAAAATTGAATTAACATTACTTCCCCACTCTGATTTCTTCCCCTCAATTAAAAGACAAGAATCCAAGTACTTATTTCTTACCATCTGTCCCAGTAATCTGCCACACATTTTCTGCCTCCTTTAAGCTTCTGATATCTCCATTAGCAATTACAGGTATAGACATATTTTCTTTAATTATTTTAATGGAATCATAGTGCACTGGCTGATGTCTTTCTTCAACAGTTCTTCCATGGACTGTAATCCATGAAACTCCTGTTGCTTCAGCCTTTCGACAAAGATCTACAGTTCTTTTAAGGTCATCATGGATCCTACAATTTCAAAATTACATTAATCTGTTCACAGCACACAAATCTTAATGCTAACATTAACTGACTAAACTCATATTTTATCTATTAAATTAGTTAGCTTTGCTATATTATATTATTACTCCATCATTATCAGCAAGGTTTTCTTTAGGGATCAGTTCCTGCCCAAGACCTCAAATTTAGCTGTCTTACTATTGACAACATAGGACAACAAAGAAGTTTTATCGTAGACCTAGTGCTTCTACGTTTTGGCTTTGATAAACAAAAGCGCCATCAAAGTATTGTCATAGATGAATTTAAACCTTAATATTTGCTGTGCATTCTCTCATCCCCAAAGGGAAGAACATAATATTTCATATTGAAATATGTTTTCAGGCTGGGCATGGTGGCTCACTCCTGTAATCCCAGCACTTTGAGAGGCTGAGGCAGGTGGATCACTTGAGGCCAGAAGTTCAAGACTGGCCTGACCAACATGGTGGAACATCCTATCTACTAAAACATACAAAAATCAGTCACGTGTGGTGATGCACACCTGTAATCCCAGCTACTTGAGAAGCTGAGGCACGAGAATCACCTGAACCTGGCAGGCAGAGGTTGCAGTGAGCCAAGATCATGCCACTGCACTTTAGCCTGGGCAGCAGAGTCAGACTCAAAAAAAGAAATATGTTTTCAACTTGTCATGGAAAAATGGATTCCAGGTTTTTCTTTTTATTGTGAAATTTTAGTGCAAATGTTTTTCCTATTTTCTACATGTGGCACCAGGAATGTTTCTTAACATTCATTAAATACTACATGGAAAAAGTAGAAAGTTTGGTGAAATTTATAATAAAGAGATGCTCTAATTTTTGTTAAAAGTACAAACACAAAGTTTTTTTTGAACTATAAATGAAAATTATAGTATATATTCTTTTACTAAATGTCTTATTTCAACATTTCTATACACCAGCAACAAATTTATTTAGGATAGACACTCCCAACAACATCAGACAAAAGGAATAATCTTTTATTTCCTAAGTAACGAATCATCTTATCAATAGATTGTAATATTATCTTTACCTTATTTTAATAGAAACTGAAAATCCAGGGTTTTCCACTTGATTTCTTACTTGTGTCACCATGTCTCGAACAAGCTCCGGCTTGTTTATTAAGCAAGCCCCATAACCTTCTGCCATTGCCCACCTTTATAAAGCAAACACAAGAACAAGTGAATTACAAATAACTGGAAGAGAAGACAAAATTCTGAAAGCACTGAAATGCAAGTGCATCCATTTCTCTAGTCATCTGGAATAGAAGCAGATTTAAAAAATTCATAGACCCAACATTCTAAGTGGATCAATATGAAAGTAGGAAAACATGTTCCCAGATCAAAAAGTACTTAAGAGAAATGGTTTTCAAGGGCAAGTGAGACCATTAAAAGTCATTCAAGCAAAACAGGTTTAAGTATTTGAAGTAATTAATTGCAATTATTTCAGATTTTAAAAATTCCAAATTTGATGTTTATTGTGCATAACAAGAAGTTTTATTAGTCTCAATAGTTGAAAGCTATTTTTGGCTTACAGCATTCCAATACCACTAAACAGCTTATTTAACCCTCCTAATGAGTATACAAATATGTCCAATCTGATTTGGATTACACTATACTTAACAATTTTGCTTTTATTCTTTGGACACATTTTGAATTAATGATAGATAATCTACTATAGTGCCAGTACAGTAGAAATATTATTGTCAAATTAAGTACCTCCTATCAACACCTAGTTACATAAACCCAAGCAAATAACTGTAGTATAGAAAGAAAAGGTGATTTTAATAAGGTATTTTTATAAGAGGAATTAGGAGAAAATGTGGTGATTTCCTAAGTCAAACAATCTGTTTTCAGAGCAAGTATATCTGACAAGACAGTAAAAATACATTTTAGGGATTGCGGAAAACATTAGATTCTCATATAACTACTACGGATGAGATTCAAGGCACAGCCACATAAAAATTCTAGTGGTGAGGGGAGACAAACACCCTTCAAAGGTCTATACATGATTTCAGTCATCAGAAAAGAGCTTTGAATTTATATTCCTAAATTATATTTCCCTGTATTTTCTTCTTTCTTGTTTTGAGCCCTGGTGCTGTAACTCTATTTTCTTTTTAATTTTTGGAAAACTAGAAAGATATTTTACCATGTTCACATAGTTTTTTTTCTAATCTTTTGGAAAATTCTTCCAACTTCTTTGAGCTTTACCTCTGAGGGCAACCACAGTTAATGTCTATTCCATTCGCATAAGGACTGACTATACGAGCAGCATCAGATAAAAGTCTTGCATCGTTAGCAGCAAACTGAACAATCAATGGGCAATCACCTGATAAAATGAATAGCTCAACATTAAAATTCACAGGAAAAAACATACACACACACCCCAAACTTTAATATTCGTACAGGATAAAATAACAGTAGTGATTTTTAGCCTAAGAAGCATCTGTCCAAATAAAAGAACCTTAAGCAATTTAAAATATTTTAAATTAAAAGCAATTTACACTCAGTAAAAAATTTAAACAGTACAAAATTTGATAAACGAAAACTAGTCTAACATTTTTGACAAAACAGATCCTCTTCTGAAAGGTGAGAATTAGTTTACTACATTCCAGAACAAGTTTTGTATACCAAAATTTAAACAAGTGTGAACTTTCTATATATACCACCATGCCTACTGTTCCTTTCTTCCCTGATACATCTGGGAGACATACTCAGGCCTATTTTTTTCTTTATAGTGGGATATTCCACTGTATAGATGGATTATATAGTGTATTTTTACACTGTTTTACATTCTCTGAGTAAATTCATAGGAGTAGAATTGTTAATAGGCATTTAACATATAACATTGTGATAGATTTCACAGAATTATCTTCCAGGGTTTACCAATATAGACATATACCAATATGGATAACAGTTCTTGTTTCCTCACAACTTATCCTACAGTGTATATCCAACATTTGTATATTTTAATTTGTGAGCTCTCTTCATATTCTTTGAATTTTTTCTATATAAAATTTTTCCATTAGTTCCTCCTTTTGTTATAAAACAAAGAAATTAGTATTGCTATGTATCATGTGTTACAAATATTCTTGCCAGTTTTTTGTCTTTCAGTATATTTGTGCTTTTACATATAAAGGTTTAAGTTTTTTTTTTTTTTTTTTTTGAGACGGTCTCACTCTGTTGCCCAGATTGGAGTGCAGTGGCACAGTCTCAGCTCACTGCAACCTCTGCGTTCCAGGTTCAAGTGATTCTCCTGCCTCAGCCTTCCAAGTAGCTAGGATTATAGGTGCCTGCCACCACACACAAAATTTTTGTATTTTTAACACAGACAGGGTTTTGCCATGTTGCCCAGGCTAGTCTTAAACTCCTAACCTCAGGTGATCCACCTGCCTCGGCCTCCCAAAGCACTGGGATTATAGGTGTGAGCCACTGCATCTGGCCTAAAGGTTTCAATTTTAATATAGCCAAATGTATTAAAGCTTCCTAGGTTTTAAAGAATATATTTTTCTTATCCTTGGGTCAGTATTACAAACTCTGTTAGATATATTTCAACATTTCTTTTCAGGAGTACTTGCATGAGATTCACTGGGTGTTTATAAAAATGCAGATTTCTCGGCATCATCCTAGTTGCACTGATTCAAGATTTCTATATCAATCCACTGCTTTACAGGATTATGATGGTTTAGGAGATTTTGATTTATTCTTTATGGAGATGTAAGGTGCTTTTCCTTTTGTAACTCAAGAGAGTTACAGAATTTCAATTTAACAACCATTTATTGGTTGAATATATTTCCAACACAGTACTAGATTCTGAGGATACAAATCAAGCTATTTCTATAGCTACAGCCCTCAAGGAGGCCAGAATCTAGTGGGAGAAACAGGCACGTAGAGCGGAAATCACAATGCAGGAGGATTAAGTGCATCATAAGAGCCTGTGCTTAGGAGGGAGGACGTGAGTAGAGGATGGTTTAAAAAAAAAAAAAAAAGATTCAAGGCTTCAAACATTGAGCTGCATTAAAAAACATAAACTATAGTTTGCCACAGAGAGAGAGGTCTGGCATGAGAAGACAGGGGATGTTCAAGGACTTAAAATAATTTAAGAATTTTTCAGGATAAAGTCAGTGGGTTGTGGGGAGAAACTGAAGGAAGATAAGGCTGCAGAAGATGTATTCAGAGGTCGGATTATGAAAAACTATATATTATCCTCAGGTGCTGAAATTTTAGTCTTGAAGCCAGTAGTTCTCAACCTTTAACAAGCTCAGAATTACCTGGAGGGGTTTTCAAAACACAGATTGCTGGACCACATATCCAGAATTTCTGATTTAGTACACCTGTAAATCTCCATTTCTAACAAGTTTCCAGATAATACTGATGCTGCTGGTCTGGGGATCACACTTTGAGAACAAGAGAAAACTTTACATTTTCAGTAGGTCACTTTGGAAGATAGTTTTGAATGGTACAAGATTAGAGGCAGTGTGACAGGAATCCATTGTAATAGCGCTAGTGAGAAGAGAGGGTTTCAAAGTGACCTTACGCTTTGATATATACACTGATAGTTTACAAGGCATTCAGTAATAACATTAAAAAATACTTATTAAAAACACTAAAGAACTGAAATTTTTAATATAAAATCTCTAAATTGTGTTGTCTCTGATTAGACAAGAGAGTTGAGTTTGTAATAAATTTAAAAAGCTTTACAAAGTCAGTACACTATGGGTTTCACATACCTTGGTTTGTGGTAAATTCACTGTCTCTGGCCTTTATAGATTTGACAAAATCAGCAGCAACTATCATTGGTGTGTAACACAGATCACAACTGTATTTTCTTACTAGTGTCCTAAAAGCCAACCTGTGAGCATATAAAACTTTAATTATGCATTTAGAAATACCACAATCATATTTTTAATTCATTGTTAAATATCAGAAAAAGTTCTACCTATGGGGAGATGGAGTAGATATACCTTTCCCTATTCTTCTTGCTAAGAATTACTAAAAAAACCCTGGATATTATATATAAAACAAACACAAGAAAATTTTGAAAGGTGAAGAAAAGATGGCCAGATAGGCTGAGGACCTGAGGAATGACAGGGTGTTGAGTTCTCTGGGTTTTATTCTTGTCTCAAATATCTTAGACTTGAAGAAGCTGGCTACCTGGAAACAACAATGGATGAGACAAAACCAGATCCAACAAAAGCCTTCTCTAACCAAAGGACCAGGAAAACATTCTGTCTGACCTAGTAAGATAGAAAACTTTTGGACAGTTCTACTCCAGCCAAATACTGTAGAATAAGCTATGGTTTTATCTCCATTAGCAAAGCCCAAGTGGGACTCCTAGATTTCTACCCTCCCAAGGCTGTAACAAGGTACTCCAACATTCTACTGAGATGATGCGTGAGAAGGCCAGGTAAGGATCTGAAACTTTCATCTCTGGTGACAAGCGAGGTCACGCCCAGCCCAGTGATATTAGTGGAGGCCACAAGAGGAGTGTGGAGTTCCATGCCTGCCAGCAGTGATGAAGCACTCTTCTTCCTCCCTGTTTCAACACAGTAAGGAAACTTCTAGTCAGTGCAATAAGGCATGAATAAAGAAACAAAAGGCACATGATGGAAAGGAAGAAATCCAACTGTCCTTATTTGCAGATGACATGGTTGTTCATATAGACTCTCAAGGAATTTACAAAAAAAACTAGAACCAACAAGTAAGTTTAGCAAGTTTGCAGGCTATCAGATCAACAGACAACAATCTCTTTCTATGTGCTAGCAATAAACACATGAACACCCAAAATTAAATATTCTATTACAATTGCTCAAAACATTCTGGTGTCTTACAAAACATGTATAGGACTTGTATGCTGAAAACTACACAATACTGATGACAAAAATAAAACAAAATTTCAATCAATGGAGAGATATATTGTGTTCAGGATGGGGAGATTCAATATAGTAAGGAAGTCAATTCTTCCCAAGTTGATGTATAGGTTTCACACAATTTCAGCAAGATTTTTTGCCGAGATAGACAAGGTCATTCTAAAATTTGTTTGTAAGGCAAGGGAATAGCTTTACATATTGTTTTAGAATAGCTAAAACAATTTTGAAAAAATAAATTTGGAAGAATCAGTCTACCTGATTTTAAGACATATTAAGAGCTATACAGTAAGACTGTGTGGTATGGGTAGGGGAAAAGACACAAGATCAATAGAACAAAACAGAAAATGCTGATTTCTCACAAAGAATTAAATGGAGAAATAGTATTTATTTATTTATTTGAGATGGAGTTTGTTTTTGTCACCCAGGCTGGAGTGTGGTGGCACGATCTCAGCTCACTGCAACCTCCGCCTCCTGGGTTCAAGAGATTTTCCTGCCTCAGCCTCTCAGTAGCTGGAAATACAGGTGTGCACCACCATGCTTAGCTAATTTTTGTATTTTTAGCAGAGACAGGGTTTTACCATGTTGGCCAGGCTGGTCTTGAACTCCTGACCTCAAGTGATCTGCCCACCTTGGCCTCCCAAAGTGCTGAGATTGGGATTTGGTGGTGTGAGCCACCACACCCGGCTGATAGCCTTTCACTAAATGGTGCTGGAGTAATTGGACATCCATAGGTATAAGAAAAAAAAAAAAAAGAACCCCAATCTAAGCCTCACACTTATATAAAAATTTATGCAAAACCAATCATGGACTTAAATGCAAGACATAAAACTATAAAACTTTTAGGGAAAAAAACTTAGGAGAAAATATTCAGCATCTGGAGCTACATAAAGGTTTCTTATACTTGACATCAAAAGCACAATTTACAAAAGGAAAACATTGAAAAATTATAGACGTCCTTAAAATGAAACTTTTGTTCTGCAAAAGATCCTGTTAAGAGGACGAGAAGACAAGTTACATAAACGGAAAAAAATATATGCAAATCACGTATCTGACAAAACAGTGGAACATATATCTACAATATATAAATAACTCTCAGCACTCAATAGAAACAAGAAAACAAAGTGACAAAAACGCTTGAATAGATATTTCTACAAAGACGACATACAAATGGCCAATAAACACACAAAAAGATGTTCAGCATCATTAATCATTAGGGAAATGTAAATTAAAACTGCAATGAGATACCACTTCATACCCATTAGGATGACTATAATTAACAAAACTCTATGAGGATGTAGAGAAATTAAAACTCTTGTGCACTGCTGGTGATAAGGTAACATGGTACAGCTGCTATGGAAAACAGTATAGCAGTTGCTCAAAAAATTAAACATAGAATCAACATATGTTCTAGCAATTCTACTTCTGGGCATATAGCCAAACAGAATTCAAAGTAGGGTCTCAGAGACCTGTTGTGAACCGTGGGTATTTGTATACGCATGATTCATGACAGTACTATTTGCAATAGCCAAAAGGCGGAAATTACCTTGTGTTCTATAAACAGATGAATGGTTATCAACAGATGAATGGATAAACAAAATAGATATAAAATGGAGTATTATTCAGCCTTAAAAATGGAAGGCTTTGAGAGGCCGAGGCGGGCGGATCACGAGGTCCAGAGATCGAGACCATCCTCGCCATGATGAAACCCCGATTCTACAAAAAATACAAAAATTAGCCAGGTGTGGTGGCACGTGCCTGTAGTCCCAGCTACTCAGGGAGGCTGAGGCGGAAGAATCGCTTGAACCCAGGAGGCGGAGGTTGCAGTGAGCCGAGATTGTGCCACTGCACTCCAGCCTGGCGACAGAGCAAGACACTGTCTCAAAAAAACAAAACAAAACAAAACAAAACAAAACAAAACAAAACAAAACAAAACA